ATTGATAACTTAATTTATGTTAAAATAATGAGTTGTCTTTTTTATTTTTATTTTTTATGTTAGTCATCAATAAAAATACGATAATATATTAATATCACGCTAAAATGCAAACACGTAGGATTTTTTGTTTGGTTTCTCAACTTCTTCCGTGATTCTGATGTATTCTCTGCATACCGATTGTCTGTACTACATTTTTAAAACTAACTCCATATAACATTTTAATTAATGTAACTTCAACCAGTGTCGGCCAAGATCCAGTTTTTAAACAACTTCGTGGCAATCTCGAATATGTGCCATTATTTATTTGGTTTTAGCAAATTGCAAATAAAAATATTAATAAAAATTTAAATGTAAAATGTTTTTTTTTCAAATTAATAAAACGATAGTTAACAATTTAAACAAAATTTCAAAATTTTTTTAATTAAAAATATTATTTGTCGATTAAAATATTGATTTGTTCTTTTTGAGCACAACTTTCGCGTAAAATGAAGCAGGGTCGGCCAAGATCCAGTTTTTAAACAACTTCGTGGCAATCTCTAATACGTGTCAGTTCATTTTTAGTTTTAGCATATTGTTAACAAAAAACTTAAAAAGTTTTTTAGAGTTAAAATGTTTTTAAAAATTGATAAAACTATAGTTAACGATTTAAACAAAATTTTTGTATTGTATAAATCATCATTACAATGTGTTATAATCCGGTTTTAAAGAACAACAATTGAACAGTAAAAAGCATGTGAAATTATAGAATGCAAAGTTTTTAAAATTAAATAACAATATTCACTCATTATAATTGTTGTATACACAGAAAATACTTACAAATAAAAATAATAATTATTAGAAATTATTTTAGTGATTTCAACTCAAAATTTTTATTTAAACAATTAATATACTTTTTCAACATTCACATCTATTAATTGTTTATGTATATATATGTATATTTGTCAGTTTAACAAAGGTTTTGAATAGTTTATTCATGTCCTTTTTAAATTAAAGTATAAATTAAACAATCAAATAGAAGTAATTTTATTATCTTTTGCAATAATATAAAACAAACAATGTATTTTTTTCGAATAAAGGAAACCATATTACTTTCAAACCAGTAAAACTTATCTTTAGTTAATTATCTTCTTAAAAACGTTTATTCATAATACGATAATAATCAGTCAAAATAATAATTATAACCGGAATAAAAAACTATTATCAGAGTAACTTTGAATAAGTTTTATTTACATGTATAATTTACAATTGAAAATGTTTAGTGTACAATTATATCAACACAAATATAAATGTTTGTTGTTGTATTTTCAAATAATTTGAAAATAATTTGGTGTTCAATATAAATTATCGTTTTATATTTTTCATTTTATCTTTTGGTATAAAAAATCATGTTTTGTCATTTTCTTTTTGTTTTTCAAAAATGATAATGTTATTTACCATTTTATTGTTTTTTAAATTTTTTTTCTATAACATGATCGTTTAGCCGACCCTGAATGAAGAGATTGAAATGTTTGGTTGTTAGGTATTTTTTTGCTGTAGAAAAACAAGATTCACTCATTGTACTCATTGGAAATACAGCAGAGATATACAAATAAAAATTCCACAAATTTGGATATATTTTAATAATATCAAAACAATTAACATCCATTTTTTAACTAACACGAACTCTATTTCATCATTGACAACGGTTCTAAGTTGAACAATTTCTTCCAACAAATATTCAAGTTGTAAAGGTTTAACAGTTTGTTTGTTTTTTGTAATTTTGCCAAAATATAAGGTAAACAATGTATAAATATTCAAATTTGAGTAAACAAAATTACTTGTACTTTCAAAACCATTAAATTTAACACAGTTAAATCTCAACTCGAATCTTTTTTTAATTTTTACTTGTATTTCCAAAAACAACTCTTTTTGTGCTGAACAAATAACCACATTACAACCATTTACTTTTTCAAATTCAGAAAAATCATTGTATTTAATGTGTTGATTTTTTTCATTGTTATTGTTGTAAAAAATTAACAACTTTACCAGTTTCTTTTACAATTATTCATTTTCAATTTGTAATTTTTTGTTTAAATTGTTCAATCAAACAATTGTATCAATTAAAAAAAGTTATAAAGTAGTTATTTTTATTTTGAAAAAACAATATACATTCTAGTATATCAACATCATCGATTACAGTATATTCAACACGCATTTCCAACAATCTTAATTCAATATCGCTCCAATTATTGTAAACAAACACAATTATTTTTCCAACACTTGATTATCGTGTACAACAATCATTTGGTACTGCCGAATCGTGTGTTTTGCTCCAGTTTGAATCTTCTATCAAAACGTTACAAATTGTTCTAAAAAATTAACAAATTTGCTGACAGTGGTTATTGATTTAAGTGATTTGTATGATTGGTGACAAAATAATCTGGCAAAAAATAATCCGACATTTTATAATTTTACTTTTAATAATTTTCAATTAAAAATGCAACAAATTTCAACATTATTTCAAGTCATTTTTTGTTATTTAAAAATAAAAATAAAAACATAATTTTTATTCTATTAACTGTATATATAACATTGTGTGTTTGTAAACTATTATTTATATAATATAAATCAATGTAAAATACTTTTACTAATCTATTTTTATTTTTATATAAAATTAGTTGCTTTGTATTTATAATATACCACATAAAAAGTATAAAAGATATAATAATAGTCAAGCTAATATATTTTTGTTTACTGCAGAAGTATTTTAATGTTAATTGGTCATTTTATGTTTCGATACATTTTATAAAAATCATAATTTTAATGTATTGTGTAACTTGGACAACATTAAAAATAATCAATAAAATTAAATTTATAATATTTAATACATATAAATACATATTATTGGTGTCTATCATATTTTAATCCTTTCGTCTTATTTTATGTAAATAACCAATTGATCTTTCGAATAAAAATAAAACGAGTTTTTTAATCATAATATATTTATTTAAACAAACAATAATAAAACTGTGTATGTCATTTAATCCAGATTTAAAAGAGATTAAAAGCCAAAAAAGATGCAAAGATGGAACCTACAACTTATTGCCAGTTGTTCAAGGTTACATTTATCATTCTCAAAGTGGAAAGAAGAATGAAAGTATTTATAAATGTCAAAATTGTAATGTAAAGATTAAAGTTGTTAAAAGTGATCCTGACGATTATGGTCAAATACATTTTGTTGATTATTCTTATGTAGATACAGAAAAAACAAAACATCCACATAATCCAAAAGACAGAGTAGATACCAACAAAACAGTCCGCACCGTCTTTTCAAAAAATGCCAATTTATTACTTTCAGCTACCAAAATAATGGATCTTAATGAAGAGTTGTTTATAAATGACAAACAACGACAAACAACGATAAGACGTACGATCAACAGACTTAAAGCGGAATTAATCAAAGAAAAGTTTGATGAATTATTCGAAAGTGAAAATTTTTATGTTAAAGATGACGATGACTTTTCATTTTAATAAATGCATTTAAGATTAAACAAATGAAATCCAAAACAGTATCTTATGTATTGATGGACGGGACATTTAGTTCGTGTCCATCCAATTATGAACAATTGTACACTATTCATTGTATATTATCAAATGGTCAATGTTTTATTTTGATTCATTGTCTTATGTACAGAAGAAGAGAAAAATTATTAATTTGTTTGAAATAATAAATACCTTTTTTCTTTCCGTTTGGGAAAAACCTTTATTTTCCAAAAATGTTAGTGTTATGATCGACTTTGAGAATGCAGTAATTAACGCTTTAAATTATTTTGAATGTTTTGTACATGGGTGTTATTTCAATTTTTCGCAGTGTTTATGGAGATGTGTACAAAAAAGTGGATTGTCAATTTATTATTTTCCAAATTCCATAATTTGGACAATTGTCAACAAATTGAAAACGTTGGCCTTTTATAAACCAAGCGAAGTCAAGGAACGGTTCATTAAAATAAAACAAACAAATGGAATTCGAGAAAATATTAATTATTTTGAAAAAAAATGGATTGAGAAATATCCAATTTTACTGTGGAAACAATTCAATCAACAAATAAGAACCGACAACTTATCTGAAAGTTACCACTAGGCGTTAACAAAAAGGTTGTCAACAAAGAAGCCATCTTTACAGGCTCTCATATTGAATATCATGAATGTCGAAAAAATGCAACTCAAAAAACTTCAACAAATGAGCAAGGGCCAAAACCATTACAGTAGAAGACCGACGAAATTGTTTTATTTGACTTTAAATTATTATAGTGGTAATGAAATGGAAAAAGATTTCCAAAACAATTTGGTCGAAGTTGTAGAAGATTATCATTGGAACAAATTATATGAAATGAATGAAAGTAATGAAATAGAGACAGATTTAAATGTTACAAATTTACATCTTTGCAATGTGAATGAAAGTTTTGTTGAAAAAGTGACAGACAGTTTGAAAATTAAAACATTAAAAGATAAAGACGCAGAAAATAAAATGTGTCAAATACAACAAAAACAAGACAAAATTGCAGACACAACAATTGCCACTCCAGTTGATACACGGATTGATACACCCAAAGACAAAATAACAAAGAAAAAAGGAAGAATAAAAAGAAAAAGTGATTATGTTCCTCTCTCAAAAAGACGATTTGTTGGAGACGGTAAGAAAAAAAGAAAACAATCAATAACTGACTTATGATACTTTATATTATTTTATCCAATTTTTATAAAAATAGACAATTTAAAAAATAAAAATTATGTTTTTATTTTTATTTTTAAATAACAAAAAATGACTTGAAATAATGTTGAAATTTGTTGCATTTTTAATTGAAAATTATTAAAAGTAAAATTATAAAATGTCGGATTATTTTTTGCCAGATTATTTTGTCCGTTCACCATAAATTTTAATTGTACATTTCCAAAATATAATTACACTGTGTGCAGTTTTATTGTGTATTTAATTTTTTAAAAAACTGGACATTGTCAAAATGTCTGATTGTAAACCAGCTGTTATTATTGATAACGGTTCTTATATTATGAAAGCTGGATTGTCAGACCAAAAAGAAAATGTCCCGAAATGTGTGTTTCCAAGTATAGTTGGTTACTCAAAAACGAACGAAACAGACATTTTTGTTGGTAATAAAGCATTTGAAAAACAAAACGAACTTCGTATTGTTGATGTGTTTGATAATGCAACAGTAGCAGACTATGAAGCACTTGAGAAACTGTGGAAATACACATATGAACAACTCAAAACTGATCCAAAAGAACATAATTTGTTGCTCACTGAAGACTTTGAAGACTCT